AGAAACTCCTGATCTGTACATAAATGGGGGTGTTTGTCAGCGTTCAAATGGATGAGGTGGAGAAAGAGGGGAGCCTTGTTCTTGATGAAGAAAAATATAAAGCAAAGCACATCTTAATGTGAATAACATTAGATGAATTCTTCTCACCCCAAGGGAGCACCATTTTGCAAACACCAGGAACTCTGGAAGTTGTGGTTGTAGAGCTCTGCCTGGAGAACACTGCACAGCAGAGAGAGGCTATTAAACCATACACAAATTTGCTTCCCAGTCTGGTTGTTTATCTTGTATATATTAAGTACTAAGATTATCATTCCAGGATTAGCAGAATCTGTTAGTTCTCTCAAAGTGCAGCTTCAAAGTCGGCTGAACTCCCTGCTGGTGGAGAGGGTGAGAAGTGCAGAACAGATGAATCATCCATCAGGAAAAATAATGCCTTGATAACAAAATTTACAGGAGTGATAAGCGACTGCTCAGTAAATATTCAAAGTTGTAATGAATCCTGTTTGTTTATGTACAGAAAACGCAAAGGAGGGGAAGATGGGGAAGGTTGAGGCAGGAACTTAAAGCCCTCTAACAGCTCAGCTTTGAAACTCAATTTATTTACATACCATATTAGATGGGCTAATGCCAAAGACAAAACCAGGTGTTCTTTCTCAGCTTTACTCCATGGACCATAATTCTCCTTCCTTCTCCCTGTCTGTTGCACTCTTCACTCAAGAGTATGAGACCATGTACTCATGTAAATCCATAGTTAGGCTTAATACATGGCCTCAAAGCAGCGTTGGAATTGCAGGTATTTGGATGTTTTGGAGTGGATGGGATGAGCATCCTTGTCCATTTAGGAACACTAACTTTGAACTTTTTCTCTACATTTGGGGTTGTGGGAGTGGACATTACATGCATCTAAATATGAAAACACAGTACACATTTAAAAAGAAATATATATTATTAATTTCTTTTAAAGAAATACTAGAATCTTGCTTTCAACTTTTAGCCAGTTACACAGTTTGCAGTTCAAAAGGCAGGTTTTTTCACGTTATGATTTTTTTTTCCCTTCCCTACTGTTGCCCTTTCCAATCATTCTAAGATTCTATGATTAATTGGGTATCCTGCCCTCAGCTGAGGAAAGGCTGAGGAATAGCAAATTAATTATATGGGTTTGAATTATGATTCAGGACCATGTTTCTTGGGCTGCCAAGTGTATTTTGATGAGCATAAAAGTCCCAAAACACCTAGAAGAGGTTGTTTTCATCCTCTGAGGTAGATTTTCAGTATGTAAAGGAAAGTAGTGGCTGTATCAAAAGTTTCCTGTTGTGAAAGAAATATGAGCAAGGATCAGCTTTTGTCTGGTTGGGCAGGATTGACATGGAACCTCTCTTTACTTGATGTAAGCCTTTCTGAGCCCTTACAGGGAAGCAGGCCCTGCTTTTAAAAATTACTTTAACAAAATAAGGAGGGGGTTGATACTGAATTTCTTGTCTCTGCAGCAACATTGTTTCTGTTAACGTTCCATGGAATTAGTTTTAAGTGGCAGTAGTCCGAGTTGGGCAAACAGTGAATTGCATTAACAGAGGTGGTTGTGGGACAGCAATGGAACAAAAATGTAAGTGGGTTAAGCCCTTAGTGGCACCAGAGATAAGGAGATTTGTGTGTCCAGCTCTGTGTGAAGCTGAACTGTTGGTTAGGAGCATATGCCAAACAAGGAGTGGCCAAAAAAAACCCAACAAAATGGGAGAAATGTTTACGTCTTCAGAAGCCTCTGATCAGCCCCATCTTGCACGGATCCAACAACAGTGAATACCCTGATGACACCAGAAAGCACTGAAGGCAGTGACTTGTCATTTGTTGTTGTAGCAAACAAAACATGATTGTTGACTTTGGGGCTTAGCTCTGCAGCAGAGAGAGGAGAAGCTGTGTGGGATCCAACTGCATCAGTTTAGGTCTGTGATGTTTGTGTCTGTCACGATTTTTATCTGAGGATAAATGGACTTAGGAGTGAAGGAATCTGATCACTATTTGAGTTGAAAATAAAACTTTGTCTGCATTATAGTTATTTGTTTAGCATTTAAATATGTGGAGGTTTTTTTCCCCTCATGTTATTCCTCTTGCTCTCCATTTTTAAGCTTGCCTAATAGTGTGTTTAGATGGTATCTCCTGAAAATTAAAATACAATATGTAATTGCAGAGTATTTCACATAAATGACTGAATGCTTGTTTGGTGAAGTTTTTGAAAATTACTTTATTTTTGTTTTTCAATTCACTGCAAAAAATGATGAGGATTGCCTTTTAAAGTCAGTGAGAGTTGACATGATGGATCATAAAGATTCATTTTGAACCCCTGTACTCTATAACAATACAAGTGTTGTAAGGAATTTGTAACGTCATTTTATTTTCTTCACTTGTCATTATATCTCCTTTGGAACCATTGCCTTGTTATGGTCTATAATATAAATATTGTTTGGACCATTTTTAGTGTACACAGTGCCTTAAAACACTATTTATTTTGACAGGTATAATATAAATATTGTTTGGACCATTTTTAGAGTACACAGTACCTTAAAACACTTTATTTTGCAGCTGTTATGATACTTATTAATACACACTTTCATGCCCAGATATCTCCTGCCTATTTTGTCAGTCTGTGATTTGGTGGCATTAGTTAAAAATCATATGATGGTTCATACAGCATAAAACCCCAAATTCCTCTGCTCCAGAGTATTGGTCAGTACTGGCTCCCTAGATGTCTTTTGATATCCATTGTTTTTCTTACTTGCCTATGCAGGAGTTTCTTGCATCAGCCTCATGGAAAGCTCATGCAAATGAAGGGGACTGTTGTTTTTGGTGGATATGCCAGGTCATTTAATCTGAGCCCTGCACTCAAAATCAGCAGAGTAACCAATGGGATTAGAAAGGTCTTAAAGCCAAACTAGATGAAGGAGGAGTGTCTCTGTCTAAGGAGTAGGTGGAACTGGATTTTTGTTTTCCAAACATCATTTCACAGCCAGACAACATTGAGCTTCCTTTTTTTGCCAGCTTTTGGACTTCTATTGTAAAGTCTTTGTACTATAATATGCCTTGCAGTGCTGGGTAACGTCAGTGTGTTTTCCCTGGGCAAGCAAGATAGGTGAGTAAACATGGTGCTTTAATAACCAGATGTGGAAGTATGAGGCTTTGTCTCTGTTAATATGAAGTGAGTAACACAATAGGATTGGATTTGGAGGATGAAATAGGTGATAGTCCGAATGTCTAGGCTGTGTTTGCTGCAAGGGATTTTTCTTTGTGTTAGCTCTAGTTTGATGCTGTGGACCTTAATGCCAGTTGAGGCTGGAGCACGTCAGGTGTGCTCCAAAGGATATCTTTTGGTTGGCATCTGAAATCTACAGTATGTGCTTTGAGACCTCTCTGAATCCAGCTGCAGTGACAAGGGACAGTTAGCACAGTTTAGAGATGGGCTTGGAAACAATACTCAGTGGTAATGTAGGCACTCCTCAATATACCAAACCAGGTTAGATGGCACTGCTTCCCACTGCTCAGCTTTGTGGTAGGACATAAGAAGAAAAGAAGAAAGGGTTAGATAAATCCATTTACTATTTCTGTGGGAGAGTCCTTTACATTTTCAATAGCTGAGTGGTAAATTTTTATTAATATGCCATAATGTATCTTTCATCATCACCGAGACATAACCAAGGAAGGCTGTTAGAAACATATCAGCGATATTTCCACAATCTTGACAATAATTAACCTGTTCCCTGTAGTTACGAGGCAGGGGTTTCTGTCCTGTTTATACTCTGCAGTTGTCAGGCTGTCTCTTTTTACCCATCTTTTCAGCTACTGTCCAGCCATTGTTGGTAGGATGTTCAATGCTAGCCATATGTGAAGTTAATGTGTTTATGCTAGTAAGTTGTTGGTATTCTATGAAAATGCCCAATTTAAGGTTTTGGTTTGGAGGCTGCTACCCACCCTTTGCAAATGGAGTGGGGAGAAAGAGAGAAAACTGAGTCAGAGCATCTATTGCTTTGACTTTTCCTTCAGAGGAGCCTGCTTCCCTCCACTGACTGTAGGTAGTCTCCAGATGTGGGCACCAAAGTCAGAGTGACTCTCTGATACAGTCTTTTTGTTTTGTGGCTGGATGCCAGCCTACTGTATTTTATTATGGAAAAAAAAAAAATCAAATAATTAATTGTAGTTCATGCTTCTCAAGAGCCCAGAGAGCTGAAGGGAGTTGTAGCAGGAGTGGGGGGACAACAGATCTTGTGGAAAAGCTGAGCCTCACTTGGCATTGTTCACAGGAGTTTTTTGACTCCAACACAGCAGGCTTTTGGTCTGGGACTTGGATGTGCTGAAAAGACACAGCAAAACCAGACGGGAGCAACCATAACCCCTGATCAAAGTGTTTGTTTGCAATAGTATTGAACTAGGAGTTCCACAAAGGTGCATGGTTCCACTCGTGAACTCCAGCGTTCCTATGTAAACGCCTCCACTCGAGGAAGGAAGGTGTACAGATATGGTGCCTCCAGGTTTGTCTATGAAATACCATGTTTGGAGTTGCATCTTTCTTCCTTCGTACTCAAGAAAACACATCATATTGGTAGTTTGGGAAATTTTCATTAGTTTTCCCCTAAATGCACAAGCGCATGTGTTAATCTAGATGGAGCCAAAGTATATTAAAGCTTTTGCAGGAAACCTACAGATACCTGTATCCTCATTTTGCCATTGCAGATTTGCGTTTACCATCAAAGTGCATGTTGTACCTCCTTGTCCACACGACTTCTCACATGTGCATGGCAATTTGAAAAAGGTAGAATTTGGTATCTTGATTAAAAACAAGAAAAATAATACCGTGTGTTAATGCTGTTCCCCTGGCTCCCCATTTGGACTGACTTGGAAATTCTAGCCATAAGACAGTTAATAAGCTTTCCAAGTGCTTGTGTTTTATGTACCCAGCCATTCTTTGCTCTCTCTCTGTACCTAAAAATTAAGTCTTTGATTCTGATTGCTAGGACCCCTCTGATTGCTGCTGGAGTTATTGGTGGCCTCTTCATCATTGTCATCGTGGGCCTGACGTTTGCGGTGTATGTTCGGCGCAAGAGCATTAAAAAGAAGAGAGCACTGAGAAGATTCCTGGAGACTGAGGTGAGAGTGTGCTTCTCCCAGAATATTTGAAAAGATATGCAGATTTGTTCTGCTTTAATATTAAAAATATTCAGGTCTTCAATCCAGTTACCAGAGAGGTGTGTAGAAATCCTTTTGCTGACTTCTACAAGACTGAACTGATGAAATGAATGAAGCTATTTCAAGATACTCGTTTTCTGTACATATATAGATTAGATTCACAGCTTTTGAAGACCCAAAAAAAGATCCATATGATCACAAAGTCACGTTCCACTACATTTTGGAGCATACATCCTGTCCTCAACTGAACTTCAGTCCCAGTTCATCAATATATTTGGCAGCTCTGATGCTTGAATATTACAGATTACTTGCTGTTGTTCTCAGTGCTTGCATTGCCTTTGTGGTCCAGATTTTGTCAAGGTCTCTATTTATGCTCACTAATAACGATGTACTTTATTAAGCCATGATACTTTGTGGAGCTTAAGCAAATGAAGTTCACGGTTCTACTAGCAAAAACTTGTAGTGGAGCTATAGGATGGAGAGCTGTGCCCACTCTGTCCCACTCTTTGAAACCCCAGTAGTGGAAGGTGCACTCTAGGAATTATATTTAAGCATAATATTAAATTTGTATCTGTTAGCTGCAGCAAAGGTGATTACTAACATCTCCTCAGTTCCATGCTTGAGACGCTTTATAGGTGATTATATTTTTAAATGAGGGTCCCCCGTGTAAAATAATGGAGCTTGGGAATATTGTTAGCTAGTGATTCTTTGCCAGTGCCGTTTTCTGTTCTGTCCCAAGAGTCCTGCTCTGACTCATTTCCACTGTAGAGCCTGGGAGCAAATGCTTGCATGCATCCCCAGTCTGTTTGCCTAAGTATCTTTATGCTTGGCCAGAATTTATGTTGCTTCTTAAATACTGTTCAGTTGCATAGAAAGCTTAGCAATACTCAGTGCCTTCAGATAGCTAAATCTTGCTATTGTATCAGCCCCTACTTAAGCATAAATTATTTTAAGCAGGTGGTTTTCATTGGATTTGGAAAGTATTTGCTTTGAAGTCTCATTCTCCATTTGGCCAGAAGCTGTGGCTGTTGGCAGTTCCTGGTCTCCTACTGAACATGTGGGGAAGCTGTTGTTTTGGCTTAGATACTGAAGATGAAATCAGAAGCCTTCTGAGATAAACCCACAAGCAACTACAGCTTCAGCTAAAGTCTCTCTTTCTGGCTGGAGGCTGCAACAGACCTGAACTTTTTGTAGATTATTCTCAGTAAATCTCTGCAAGTGCTTTTTTAGATGTCCACGAGACTTCTCCCTGCCAAACCACCCTGTGTTGGTGGACTGTGGCGCAGAAGCTGCTTTCCCTTTCATAAACTAAAAATACGGAAGTGTACTACCAGTTTGTCTAATTTTCTCTTACTGTAAACCTTCTTTCTTTCACTATGGAAGTACTAGGCAGGAAAGAGAAATCACTTTTTTAAAAGTGCAACTCACAAGTTATTTCTGTGATAACCTGACTTTTTGCTGTTTGGTTATGTTTTCTTAGTCCATTAATTTCCAGGTACCAATATTTTTTACCTGAACCAAAGTAGTCTAGTCAACTAATTAAGCCTTGTAAACAGACAAATTTGAAATACTGTAGTGGTTTCAAACCAGACTGAGTAGGAGAAGCCCTGTATTATTTTCATCATCCTGTAAAGGAAGAGACTATTTTTCATGTTTAGGTTATTGTCCTTTTTATGTTTTCTAAATTTATTTTTAAAGAAGCATTGATTTTTATTTTTTCTGACAGAGAGGGGATAATAATGAGATCTGAAAGCATGTTTAACTGAATGTGCCATTGTGGATAAGTTACAAAGTTTCTTGGGACGTCTTGAGCAAATTGTTTAATTGTGCCTTTTTTCAGCAAATTAGTGGCTAATAAAAATTAGTGGTTTGCTATGAGATGTTTTCTCCTTAAAGCTGTCCTCCTGTGTGATATACCAGAAGTTCCAAAAACAGTCCTATCCCCAAAACAGAATAAGAACATGATGAGCCATTAAGTGAGAGCTATTAAAAAGAAATATGCCCAACTTAACAGGCACTAAAATGGGAAAAAAATAGAATGTTCACTGATAATAAATGCTGTATTTCTGTCATGTAGAAAGTATTTATACTACCTCCATTAGCAAAAGTCCTTGGGTGTGTTTTTGTTAAATCAATGCAATTTCCAGTTTGTAATTCCTTCGTGCAGTTTCTCGTGGAAATGACTGCATGTTGAGTGAGGACTTTCTTTATTAGATCTCTTGGTTTCTTACTGTTGCCCATTTGCTTTTCAGACAAGAAAACCTTCCACAAGTTTGCAGGTCAATGGTAAATAGATGCCACAAGTGTCTTGTTCCAGTATTTACTTGGATCAATTGTTTTCAGTATAAAGTTCTGACAGGTTTTCATATTTTGAAATATTTAAGACAATTCGATTCTCCTTCATAGCTTGTGGAACCTCTGACTCCAAGTGGCACAGCACCCAACCAAGCACAGCTTCGTATCCTGAAGGAGACTGAGCTGAAGAGAGTCAAGGTTCTGGGCTCTGGAGCCTTTGGAACTGTATACAAGGTAAGAGTCTTCAATAAACAGCAGTTTACTGAATGAGTTCCCTCATTTAACTTTTGAACTGTTGAGTTCTGCATTGCAGCAAAGCATCCCAGACATGGATGGGTTCATGAGCCTTGCATGTCTGGGAAACTAATAGGGTAGTGGAATTGTGTGGGAGGAGCACATCTTCAGGCTCAAACATTAACTTCTGTTTTAATTAGGCAGGCGGATTTTATTTCTTGGTGAGAAAAGGTGTGTCAGCACAAGCAACCTTGCACACAAAAGGACTACACAAGTTGGGCTGTCTTGATGTTACAATGCAGTATCAAAGTTCTTCATTCTGTTCTTCATCCTGTTCCTGTATAATGGCTTTACAGCACACTTTTGGAAAGCTAGATAAACTTTGTCTCTCATTTCACCGCTGTCACCTGGGTCTTGTAATAGTAATCATACCTTGTAAAACAATATTGTCATGAGCTAAATTGTAATACTTGTAATTGCTTCCATTTAAATAGAAAAGATTAGTTATGTGAATGCCAGGATGTAAGAGCAGAAACCACAAGGGGAGAAAGTACTTCAGTTAAAGATTTTTTTTAAGATCCGTTGGTCATGTCCAAATCTCATGGAGTCAGGCTTAATGAACAAGTGAAACCAGACACCCAATCCTTTGGGAGCAACACACTCTTGCCAAATTGAGGAGGTAGGTCAGAGCAGCAGAGAAGGACAGATACTGCATCCGTCTTCAGACTGGGGAGGAAATGGAGGAAGTATAGAGCAGGTCACTATAGCTACTAGGTCATAGAAATACATTTTTGTATAATCCGTTTGAATGTACTTTGGCAATTATAAAGGTGGGTACTGTGAGCTTGCCAAGAACACAGCAATAAGCAAGAAAGATGGAAAAGGAGCCTGAGAGACAGAGTTTGTGATTTTAAAGTTTATGTTTTAGCCATCTCAGTGTTTAGTTTGAAGAAGTAGTTTTGCAGAATTTCAATTATTTTATAGCTTTGTGTCTTCTCTGTTCAAAGGTTTGTAACTGAACTGTATAATGTGACAAAACGCATCACAAAGAACTGGAACTCTGAATAAAGTGTCTATGATTATTTTCTTAGTAACTTTTTTTTTCTATATTTCTAGGGCATTTGGGTCCCTGAGGGTGAAACTGTAAAGATCCCTGTGGCCATTAAGATCCTCAATGAGACCACTGGGCCAAAAGCCAACGTGGAATTTATGGATGTAAGTAAGAGATGATCAGTGTCTCTGAGTCTTGGGGAGGGTGAGTCTTTCTGCAGTACACAAGGACTGTGAAGAAGAATTTCTGCCAATTTTCTTATATTTAAATAGTAGAAGGAGGCTTGTACACAGGGCTGATACTGTGCTGATGTTCAGCAAGTGCTACAATATGTCTCTGGAAAAACTCAGCTGCTGAGATTTTGTGTATAGGGTGTTTACTTTTTTTCCCTTAGTCTTTGAAAAACTGTCTCGGTGTTAATGCCCATCTGTAGCATTCTCTATTGCAGCCATGTTCAAACAGACAAAACCAACAGAAAAAGAATAAAAATAAAACCAACCAAGGTTGCATCTCAGCTGCAGGCAGGTCAGTGCTGTTTCTCTGGAGCTGTAAAGCTGGGCAGGTCTGTGGGAGGCAATTGCTCTGCCCTGTTTAGTGTGTGTAGG